TGGCCTTTACAGCCATGTCCACTTCTCTCCCACCTTGCCCCTCCTAACCCCTAGAAAACACTAATCTGTTTTCCATTTCTATAATTTTGCCATTTAAGGGATTTTATATAAATGGAACTGTACACTGTGTAAGCTCAGGAGAATGCCTGTTTTGCATACTCATCAGGTATCATCCGCATCAATGGCTGTTCCTTTCTGTTGACATGAGCTGTGTTTCACCATGTGGAAGGATCCCAGTCTGCTTAACTTTCAACTTGTTGAAGGACATCTGGATTGTTTCCAGTTTGAGGCTGTTAAGAATAAAGCTTCCAGAAACACTTGCCTACAGTTTTTTGGGTGAATGTAAGTCTATTTCTTTGGGATGAAAATCCAGAAGTGCAACTGCTGCATCATATGGAATTCGCATGTTTACTTTCTTTAAGAAATTGCCAAACTGTTTCCCAGAGAGGCTGGCCCATTCTGCATTCCCACCAGCAATAAATGAGAGTTCTAGTTTCTCCGCATCCTCACAAGCATTTGGTGTTGTCACTATTTTTTATTTTAACTGTTATGATAAGTGTGTTGTGCTATCTCATCATGGTTCTAATTTCCAGTTCACTGAAGGCTAATGATGTTGGACATCTTTTCATGTGCTTATCTGGCATCTTTTTTAGTGAGATGCCTCCTCATGTCTTCCACACATTTTCTAAATAGATTGTTTGTTTCTTTACTACTGAGTGTTTAGAGTGCAAATAACTTCTCCCAGTCTGTAGTTTGTCTTTTTACCCTTCTAATAGGTTCATTCCATTGCAGAAGCTCTCAATTTTGTTGAAGTCTAATTTATTAATTTTTCCTTTTATGGATTGTGCTTTTGGTGCTAATCTAAGGCTCTTGCCTAGCCAGGATCCCAAAGCTTTTCTGTATTTCTTTCTAAAAATTTTATAGTTTTACATTTTACATTTAAATTTGTGATCCCCCTTAATTTTTGTATAAGTGAGATTTGGGTTGATGTTAATTTTTTTGACTGGGGTGCTCAATTCTGCCAGCACTGTTTGTTGAAAAGGCCTACCTTCGCTGACTTGATTTTGCACCATTTTCAAAAGATCAATTGGGCATATTTGTGTATTTTAGCTGGGTCTATTTTTGGGTGTTCTCTCCTGTTCCATTTATCTCTATGTCCGTCGTGTCATGAGCACCATGCAGTCTTGATTACAGGGCTATCTAATACATCTGGAAATTAGATAAATCCATTCCTCCCACTTTTTCAAAATGATTTTAGCTACTCTAGTTCCTTTGCCTTTCCATATAAATTTTAGAATCATCATATATAGATATAGATATAAGTACAGGTATATAGATATAAATCTACAGAAAGCCATGCTAGGACTGTGATAGGAATTGTGTTAAAAATGTATACCAATCTGAGAGGAATCACCATATTTACAAAGGTGAATTTTCCAAACCATGAATATGGAATTTCTCTCCACTTAGATATTCTTTGATTTCTTTCAACAACACTGTGTAGTTTTAAGCATTTAAATCTTGTAAGTTTTATTAGGTCTAAGCATTAGTGTTTCATTTTTTTACCATATTATAAATGGCATTGTATTTTATGTTTCTATGGGATGGCTGCAAGTTACAGAAATATAATTGGTTTTTGAGTGTTTATCTTGTTCCTGCAAACTTGCTGAATTCACTTATTTGTTCTGGGAGGTTTTTATAGATTCCTTGGAGTTTTCTAAGTAGTAATCATGACATCTACAAAAAGCAACGATTTATTTCTTCCCTTCCAATTTGTTGTCTTCTATTTCCTTTTCTTGCATGATGCTCCTGTGGAACTTCCATTACCACGTTGACTATAAGTGGTGTTAGCTGTTGAGGTTTTATAAATGTGACTTATTAGGTTAAAGAAGTTCCCTCTTATTCTACTTTGTTGGAGTTTTTAGTTATGAAAAGGTACAAATTTTGTCCAATACTTTTTTAAAAAATCTATTGATATAATCATGTGACTTGTCTTCTTTATTCAGTAAATATGTTGGATTACATTGATGAATTTTTCAAGTATTGAACCAGCCTCTCATCCCTGGAATAAATCTCACTTGGTCATGGTGTGGTCAATATTTCTTCAGTATTACTGAATCCAGTTGCTTGTATTTGGTTAAGGAGTTTTGTCTCTATGTTCATAAGGTAGAATGCCTTATAGTTTTCTCTTTTATTGTTGCTCCTTTGTCTGGCCTTGGTGACAGGGTAACACTATCTTCATTAAATTAATTGGGAAGTCTTTCCCCCTCTCCCATTTCCTGGAAGGGATTGCATAGAATTAGTGTAAATTCTTCTTTTAAGTATTTGATGATCAGAATTCTCCAGTGAAACTATCTGGGCCTGGAGATTTTGTGGTGGAGGGGTTGTAAATTAGTAATTCAATTCCCTTAACAGTTGTAGGATACTTGCATTGTATATTTCACATGGGGTGAGTTGTCAGTTTGTGTTCATCATTAAATGCTGGGTGTATACAGTTGTTTACAGTTTCCTTCTTTGTCCCTCTGGTCTCTGCAGGGTCTTGGGGGACAGCCTTGCTGCATTCCTGACATTAGCAATTTGTGTCTCCCTTCTTTTTTTCTGTCTTTCTAGAGGCTTGTCAACTTTATTGATCTTTTCAAAGAACCAGCTCTTCCTTTCATTTACATTCTCCAGTTTCCCTGCCAATACTTGCATTGATTTCTGCTTACATTTTAAATATTTTCTTCCTTCTGCTCAGCTTGGATGAGCTTTGCTCTTCTTTTTCCCAGCCCCGGAGGCAGTATTTCAAACTATTCACTTCAGGCTTTTCTTCTTTGCCAGTGTATTAATTTACTGTGACAAATTTCCTCTCAGCCCTGCCGTGGCTTTGTCCCACTGATTTTGAATGTTTTATTTTCACTTTATTCAGTTCAGTGCATTCTGATTTCCTTTGAGATTCCTCCCTGACCCATGGATTCCTTGCAGTGTGTTGTTCCATGTCCAGGAGTCCAGAGAGCTTCCTATTTCCTTCCTGTTACTGATTTCCAGTTTGACTCCAATATGGCTAAAGAACACACTCTGGATGGTGCTGATTCTTTTTTAATATTTTGAAGTTTGTTTCATGGCCTAGGATGTGGGACACTAAGGTCCCTTGGTCCTGAGGTCACGGCCAGTCTGCCTTCTTTTCTCTACCCTTCAGTCTTCTGGCAGTTCTTATAGTGCCCAGGGAATTTAGCTGTACTTGGCAGGAGGATTCGAGAAAGTGTATCTACCCCATCTTCCAGGAAGCCAAGCCACTCTCCCAGTGGTACTTTAAAGCATATCCTCTCATTTATGTACACGTGGGCATCTGGCTCTGAGTGATATGGACCAGATGCCCAACAAACACTGCTCTGAAATCGCACAGTGGTCGCATTTGAGGCATTATTGTCTATATTTGCAGATGAGGAAACGGATTCAGAGCATCACCAAGTACACAAGTCAACGGAATTCCATAAATGGACTTAAATCCCCACACAGAACATTAGCTCCATCTGCCCTCCTGCCCAACCTGCAGGATGGCACATACCTGAGCCCCTGGGCACACACCTGCATGAGGCAGCCAACCTCGCTCAGCTCCCCAGCTTTTCCCAAGTTTGGAAAGCATTCAGTATCCCCTTGAGGTTCCACATAATGATCCTAGAGCCAAGTCTGGAGCCATAAGTCAGTCTGAAGTTTTTCCTGGTATTTTCTTTCCTCTGGCATATCACCCACCTTCCACTGTCGCCAGTGTGTTTCCAGGGAACTTGGTGCTGGGGCAGTGGGATTTGACTGAACTTCATGTCTAAACACTGGTAGCTAGTCCAAACCCACAACACACATTCAAATTAGCCATTGGTTGTGGTCAGTCAGGAGGAGGGGCTGTATGGTGATGAAGGTAAAGCCCTCTGCTTCCACCTCAATGATTGAAATGTAGGGCAGACAGGGCGGCACATGTGTGAGGCCACGCTCACGTGCAATGCTCAGATAAGCACAATGCAGCACGCAGAGCCCATTCCCTCTCACTGCATTTCCGCCTCATCTGCTGAGAATAATGGCATTCCAGTGTTGTGCTCTGTGTATAAAGAGAAGGCTTTGCAGCCCATGAAGAACACTTTGGGGAAAGACGGCCCTCCTATTAAATGACATACGGCCCCAGGTTTCTCTGGAGAAGGACAGACAAGGCATGCTATCATTGCTGCACCCACTGCAGGTAGGAGGCAGCCACCACGAATGTCAGTGTCCCACACCCCAGAGGGTGCTAAGAAGCATTAGCAAATCACAGTAGCTTCATAAAAAGAATGGAACATCCACCCTTCCCTCCCCAGGGTAGAAGAGCAGCAGCATAAATAGTCAATTACAGAAATGAGTGATTTATGTTTATGTAGGGCTCTAGCTCCTTCCCTGCTCCATCAGCTTAAGGTTGGCGTATACTGGTCTCTCATGGCTAATGGGGTGCCCTGGGACAGAGGATAGGGGTGCATACAAACACAATGTCTGTATGGCAAGTGTCTCAGGGATACAGCGGGCCCGTCCCAGAAGCTGGCCCATCCCAGAAGTTGTCACTCTGCTGGGAAGGCCCAGGACAGTGGCTGGTCATCCAGGATGGAAGGAACGAGGGAAGGTCTGCACAAGAAGGCAGTGGGCAGGGGTCCAGAGCAAGGGAGCAGGGAGCTTGCTGCTCTTTGCTGCCTTCCTTTCTCTGTAAGGGGCAGGCACTCCACTTTCTTCTTTCAACTCCAAGTAACACCACAAAGAGCGAAAAAGCTGGTGCTCAGCTCCCAAAGCATCACGACCCTTCCCATAAGTGCTTGTTCGGCAGAGCCATGTTGCATAACACCAGGCGGAGATTCAGCATCAAGCTAACCCCCAGCAGGCTGTACAGCCATATCCCCACACCATCCAGGCAACAGCCTCTGCACCTCGGAGGCTTCTGACATGTGACATGGAAACATTTCTGCCCGAGATGGTGCAAAGCAGAGCAAGGTGAGAGAGTTTCTTACCATGTGCTCCTTTGTACAGACCACCGGCACTGCCCATCTGTGGCCCAGGTGGGCTGAACGAGGGATAACGTGGGGGTGTCGTCACTGGAACAGAGAGCAGAGCCAGGAGTTGTGGCCGTGTCCTCCCTGCCGGGGGAGCTGCACACAGATTTACTTCTTTCTTACCATATGGCGTTTCCGGAGACACAGGAAATGAAGGTGTGGGTGAGATGCCCCCGCCGCCATTTTTGTTTGGAGAGAAGATCCTGCCATCAATCCCATCCAGACCTGAGGGATATGCACCGATGGCCGTCTGAAATTTGGCATGGGGAGGACAGGTGAGGCCACCTCCAGACAGCAGGACCGCCAAGTGAGCCCTTGTCTGAGGGGCAGGAGGTCCGGCTCAGATCTGCAACCCCACCCTGGCAGCTGCAAAAAGCTGGGGAAAGCTGGAGTAATTGCACAGAATGGGTTTATACCCTCTGCCCACCCACAGGCTCCATCACCCAGCTGATGAAGGGAGCTGGCCGCAGGCTGGTACAGCTCAGAGAAAGCGAGCTACAGCATCACAGGACAAGGCAGGACAAATCATCTCTGCCTGTGGTATATGCAGATATGAAAAAGTGCACAATAAACTCAACACTTGGGCATAGAAAAACGCCTGGAAGGACGAACGCCAAATATTAACACTGGTTTTGTTTGTGTGTTAAGGCAATGAATGACTTGCTCTTCTTGTCTATTCTTGGTTCCAACTTTTCCATCTTGAGAATAAATAAAACCCTAATTTGCAAAGGTTCAGTTTTGGGATTCACTGATCTGTCTTACTTGCATGATTAAAACCCTAATTCTGCTTCCAGGAAAACGCTGAGGTGTGTGGGCCTCCCCACAGGTCACCCCCTCCACAATGAGCCACCTTCTCCTGCTGCCTTCCCAGGGGCCCCAAGGGGTCCCAAGTGGGGCATCTGGGACCTGCTACCATGATTTCCAAGAAGTCCGTTTGCCCTCGGGGGCTGCTGGCCACTCACTGAGCTCAAGATCCCTATGGGTACACCACCTGCACGCTGCCACCTCATTCCCCGTACTCCCAGGAGACCGGAGATCATGAGCCCTGAGGACTGCACACCTGGGCCCTCCCAACCCGTTTCAGCCTTTCCCAGGAGCCATGAGACGCAGAGGGAGGTGGGAAGGCAGGCAGGCAGGCTCTCAGGGACAGTGTATACCTCTTTGGCATCTGCTGGAGACAGGAAAGGTGCCAGGCTAGCAGCCTGATCTGCACTGGTGGTCTTTCCCCATCCACACTTGGAGAAGGCCGGCTGGCCCCCGGCTTCATTGTCATACTGTCCAACACTCAGCTTCCGGAACCTTCCTCCCAGTGGCTCGTCGCCTGGGGAGCCTGTTAGAAGAGAGACGTGGGCTTCGGGACTTTCATCACAGTGGAACATGCAGGACAGTTATTAAAACCCAACTTTACAAATTCTCAAAGGCACTTTTCTGGTTCCAGAGCATCTTAACACCTGAAAAGGCCACCCCACTCCCACTCTCCCTCTGGCCCCTGGCGACAATGGTTCCCCTCTTTGTTTCTGCAGACCTGCCTGTTCCAAACGGGAATCTAAATGGGATCACATGGTATGGGTTTTCTCAGTGTGCGGCCTCGTTACTGTCTGGACTGATCTCCTGCCGGTGTCCTGCCGGTGTCCCTGTGTCGGCTTCAAGGGGAAGGGATTTGATCATCTGCTTACCCAGTGTCCAGAGCAGTGCCTGGTGCACAGGAGGTGCTCAGGAAACAGTGGGGAGAGAGCGACTGAGACCCAGGATGGAGTCCCCACCTTCACCTGATATGTGAGAGAGAGTGGTGGGGGGAGCTGAGCGTGGAGGAGGCCAGGACAGGACCCCCGACAGTGGCAGGCACCTGGGACCCTGGGACTCATGGGAGTCACATTGCTTGTATTTTTCTTCGGGGTCCAATTGCTTGTATTTTGCTTCATGACCACCAAGAAGGTAATGACCTCTTAGACCAGAGACACAGACATTTTTTCTTGAGCCACAAACAGGTATATGTATCCATTTGCCTACACAAATGGCTACCAACTATGCTGTCTAGAATTTTAAAACATCTCTCTCTCTCCACCCCTTTCCATCACCTGTTTGGTTCCTTGCTCGATCCAATACATGTGAGCAGCAACTTCAGAATTATTATTCTGCCCACGTCTTCTTTCAAAGTGCCAGTGACATTTATTTATTTCATCACTGGTTGACACCGGTTGCTCAGGGGAGACACAGGGGCTCCTGCAGATGGACATGTAACCCTGCGGCATCCTCATATGCATGACGCACACAGCTCTCTGGAAACCAGCAGCTCCACTAGGTCGCTTACTCCTTCCAGAACCCACTTCCGGGCTACTAAGACAGTAACATTTCTGCCCTTGATGTGCTCTGAGATTCAGAAGCTGTCACAACTGCCCTATAGTTCGGAATTCACTAAGAATGTGTAATCTCTGCAACTGTGAAGGTCACAGTAGCCTGAGGCTCACCTGCAATGACTGGCCCAAACAGGTCCACAGGTGTGACACACAGTCACACAAGCACCCCTGGCAAGCCCTGTCCTCTCCCTCGGCGAGGGCACTGAGAAGCTGTATGAGCCTGAGGGACCACCCCTGGGCCATGACAGGTCTGTGTGTGGCAGCCTGTCCCAGAATTGCTCCGTCCTGACACCCCCCTGCCCAACCACACACAGCCTGGAGGAAGGAGAGGCATTAGGACTGGGGGTCTTAGAGCTCCCGTCCACCCCCAGCTGCAGAAGGCCATCCAGCCAGCTCCTCATGGGGATATGAGCACATCCAGCCAGCTCCTCATGGGGATATGAGCACACTTGCTCTCCCTTCTCCCCAGAGAGGAAAACTGGGTGAGAGCGACTGAGATGCAGTTAACAAGACCACTCACAGAAGACCCCTGAACAGGACCGCATCCCTCCCTGAATGGGACTGTACTCCCCCACCCCACCCCCACGAGGGTGAGGGTGAGAGTGAGTACACAGCCCCCTACCCCAAAGGGGACTGCATGCCCCTACCCCCATGAAGGTGACTACAAGCCCTCCCCCAAAGCAGGATCAGATCACGAACACGGCCCTAAATGGGACCACAGATTCCCCCAACTCAAATAGGACCACACGTCCCCCACAAATGGCACAAAATTCCCCCTCTAAAACAAGACCACACCCCTGCTGAACAGAACTGCACACCTCTCACCTTCATGAAGATGACTGCACACCGCCCCCCACCAACACCCATGAACAGGACTTCATCCCCTCTATGAGCAGGACCCCAAGCCCCTGGAACTGGACTGCATGTCCATGCAGGGCTGTCACCGTTACCCCGGGTCCTCTTCCCCCTCCCTCCCGGGCTGCTGACCCCAAGCAGGGTAGGGCCCCAGACCTGGCCCTGCCCTGCACCATAGGGAGAGCCATGGGGAGGGTGGGGGGCGGCATCATTGTTGGGGCGGTGAAGGTACACAGCGGCAGAAGGCACTTTGGGGGGATGGAGGCAGAAGGGCAAACTTGTGGGGGTGTCAGGGGTGAAAGGGGGCTCCCGTGTGTGCCTGACTCTGAGGAGTGGAGCACAGCCATTCCTCAAAGGCTGTGGTCACTACCCAGAGCTTGGGGCACCTCATCTGCAGAAATCCCTCCAACCGGGAGGCACCTCTCCAAAATCCTATGCAGGGGCTTGGTGGCCTTTAACTGACACTTGCAGCTAACACAGCCCAGAAATGCAGCTCCAGGCCACCAGTAAGCCTGCAGAGCAGGGCTCTGGGGCTTAGCAAGCACACTGTCTCTGTCCAGCATGCAGTGGTAAACAGTGTTTGATCCAGAATCACAACATCACACAAAGCACTGTGCGGGGTGGGGGCACGTCCCTGCATATCCCTGCTGGCTTAAACCCAGCCTCGTGGGGGCACCTCTGTCCAAGCACACGTGGATGAGACCGGCCCAGAAGGGACCCTGCAGCGTGGAAGGGGGCTGCAGAGCAGGGAGTCAAGGTTTTTCAGGGCTCCAAAGGCTTCCTCTGACATTTCTATTTCAGAGCAGCCGGGGATGCAGTCTGCCCGGTAGTCACCATGTGACCTCTGTCCTGGGCTTCCCCAAAGAGGCCCTGACACACAGGGCCCCGGGAGTGGTCCCAGAAATGCCCCGATTTGCAGTGTTTGCCACTGTTTCTCAAGGCACGTATGAAGAGGAGACATAGAAGTTGCTTAATTTAAACTCTCTCCTGTAAAGTGTCCCTATCGCCGACACCATCTGCAGTGCCCACACTAAAGCTTGTGTCATGGGGCACCTGGGTGAGCCATTATGGGTCCCATCCTTACAATATCAGTACACCACTGTCCCCAAGCCTGTGAGGGTGTGGTCACAGGCAGCAGCTGAGGGTCTGCAGCCAGAACAGGACCTGGCCAGCCCCGAAAGGATGGGGTCAAGGGCCACACAGGGCACAGGGAGTCCACCTTCCCAGCCATGACCTACAGAGAGCACCTCATCATCCACAGGGGGCATGATCCCTTCCCAGAGGCCAAGACATGGGCGTGGTGGTCATCAGAGGCCAGGCCCCTCTGGGTGACAGCCCTACCCTTTGCAGACGGCAGCTAGGGACTAGAGCTTGCCAGCACCACCTGCCTCCCCGAGAGAAACTCCTGACTATTAACGATTAGCACAATGATGGAGAGGACACCAGGCTAAGGGGGCTGTTCCTTCTGGATACAAGCCAGGGGGACAGCTGACACACGCTCCACAGTCTACCGCTCGTGTGAATCTGAGATTGACAATGCTTATTCTCCACAATCTTTGGAACCTCTCATTTATGCATTTGTGTAAAAACGTGGGTTTGGCTGAGCTCCTGGCTGAGGCACAGTTTCTAGAGCATGGGCACAGAGCAGCCTGGGGAAAAGGGAGGTGGGGTCAAGTTTTAAAGACCATCCTGTCTCAGAATTATTGGTCTGGGTGCGGGTCTTGACCTAGGTAAAGCTTTCTCTGGCCCCAGGGTGCCCTCAGGTCACCTGTCCACTGAGCCCAGGTGGGTCTGCCTCTGCTCTGGCAGCTGGGGAGCTGTGTAGGGTGATACGGGGGGGGGGTGCATCACACATTGGTCTGGGCTCAACACAACAGAGCTCCAACAGTGAGGGTCCACAGACGGTAAACCCTAAAGCTGCAGTAGCACGACGCTCCGTGGGAAAGTGTAGGTAGTCGTTGAATTTCACGTGTGTGGAACTGCAAGTGAGCAAATATGCTAAAACACGACGTGAGAAAAGCAGCGTGGGAATGTGAACGTGTAGCGTTTATAGTTATGATTTCATTTTGAAAATAAAAATTTTGAAAAATAAAAAATGTACCAAAATATTCATGAAAGGTTCCATCCGGGTTGTGGAGTTCCAGCCAGTGTGAACACTTTTGGTAAATGTTGGAATCATCTCAAGTTTTCACTAATGATATGTATAAGTTTAAAAACAAGATACAGATTATCTTTAAGAAGAAAAGTGCCATGTTGCCTCTGCTGAATATACCCAAATTTCTCTTTCTGCACTGTCTTCTTTTCTATGTTTAGAGCCACAGGCTCCCGTGTTTGATGAACACTTTTTTCCTTCTCTCGGATAAGCATGTGTCCGGTGGCCAATGTCTCACCAGACACAGAGGAAATCCTGAGGGCGGTGCTTTTCTGCACCTCTGCTCAGAGGAGACATCAGGCTCCAGAGACTTGCAGCAGGCCCGGCGTCTCCGAGGGGCTGCACATGGCTGAGAGGCTGCACATGGCTGCAGGGCCACGAGCCTCGTCACCCAGCAGAGCCCCAGGGGGGCCTGCCTGCCTGCCACGGGAGGCCTGGATTCCACTTCACTTGACAAGTTGAATCATGAAATGCTTCAAACATATTGTCTGAGCTGTCCATAAACTGCCCATGACCATATTTTTCCTTTTCAGTGAAGAAGTCAAATCCAGGAAAAAGGAAAAAGGAGACCAAATGAAAGTAGTCAATACTCACTGCATGAAAGGTGGTCAGATGGGGAGCAGCTCCTCCTTTACAGAGTGCTGCCTGCCTGCCCAACTTGTCCCAGTGACCTGCTTTTTTCAGCAACATGTGGCATGCAGCGTGGTCTGCAATGGCCACACAGCTAGATGCACAGCCACCCCACCCCACCGGTCCCAATGCTGGGCACTCAGATGTCTTCACACCAGTCTCCTTTCCTCCCACCACTGGACACCACTCACCTCAGGACCCACCTACCAGGCTGGAGTCAGGTGTCCCCAGGAGCGCCCATGGCTGCCACTGCCAAAGCACATCTCATTTTAACAATTTCACTTTATTCATGAGGGTCAAGGACAGAGAAACACCTGCCCAGCCTGAGTAGTCTGGGCTGTTCAGGCACTGGCTCAGCCCTGGCCAGGCCTGGGGGGCCTCAGACTCACTGTGGGATGGCAGTTCACAGAGCCATGGAAACAAGCAATGCTTGGTCTCTGGATCACTTAGGTGGCATGCAGAGATGCAGCCCTGCTGAGGGCAGGTGTGCCAGGACCAGGACAAAAGGCGTCCAGCTCCCTAGTCACCCGGTCCATGGTGGATGTCACCTTCTACCAGCCACCACAAGAGGAAGGAGTGAGGCTCAGGGCAGAGAAACTCTTGGGTGCTGAGGACAGAGCAGAGAGCCAGCCTTCGTATGGGGACACCAGATGCCCCCACTGAGCCCTGGAGAAGCAGGGTATCCTGTCCAAGACTGTGGGGTACCCAGGACTGAATTCAGCTTGGCCTGGGAGGTCAGCATGCAGTGTCCAATTTACCCCTGAGCTGCGGGTGGTGACTTTCTCAGACCACTAGAAAATTGTATTTAGAAACCCAGGAGGTCCTTGGGAACTCTGCACCTTTTCCTAAATACACTGAACCTCCAATTATGCACATGGACAGAGTGCAGTAACACCATCATTGGTACCTTGGGACACACTTGGACCTTCCTCACACTGTGCTAGGGTGATTCACATTTACCAGTGGCTACCTGATCCTATTTAAAGATGAAGAATGGAGAACCTGTGAGGTGGGGTCACAGCACCCACCTGGCCCTGCTGAAGGAAAGCTGGGACCCACGGTGGGATCAGCACAAGGGTCATCCCCATATTCCTGGCACACGACACCCACCTGTCCTGTAAGCTCTATCAGGTCACAAATGCAGGTTGTATCAGGATCACCCAGGGGTGGGAGTCTGCTGCCTCACCAAACAGTGGGGTCAGTCCTCCATGCAACTGGGACACACACCCAAGTTAGAAACACAAATATAAAATATTGTTCTCAAACCTAACTGTACATTAGAATCACATTTAAAAATCCCGATGCTGGGACCTCTCCCCTTACCTGTGGGAGTGAGGCCCAGATACAGGCATTTAAAAAACTCCCTGGTGTTACCAATATACAACCAGAGCCACAAGCTCAGAACCACAGCAGGACTCAACCTTAGTTTCACACTGGAGTCACAAATGGGGAGAGCATTTAAAACAGTTCTGACGCCCGAGCGGCAATCCACCTCTGGAGACAGAAGTTGCCTGGGCACTTTTAGCATCTGCACTTTGTAAAGTCCCAGGTGACTGCACTGTGCACCCAGTGCGGAAACTTCTCTAAAGAGTAGGAGGAAACCCATGAGCTCCTGGAACGTGACCTTTGTCTTCTATCTGGGCCACCAGAAGGTGGAGCACTCTTAAGCTATTTATTTATCTTTATATGATCATATAAGAATGAAGTCCTGTGTCATTCAGGCACATGAGTTGAGTTCTGGGAAGTCCCCTGCGGTCCTAGGAATGAAAACAGTCACCCAGGACTGCTCCGTATTAATTTCGAGGCCTCCTGATTTGGGCTCATCCAATTAAACACATGCACCTTTGAAAGTCAGAGCGTAAGTGAAGAAAGGACAGCAGGACAATGAAAAGCACAGTCTTCCCAGCTTAAATGTTCCCAGAATGATTTAAAGAGCTTTATCCCACCCCCTAAACTGAAAAAGGCTTTGATTTACCAGTCTCTTCCATCTGCAGGATATATTCTGGAAGGGCTGGGTGACACCTGTTAGAAATTCCTGGTCTGGGTGCTGACAATGCTCAAGACCTCAGCAGACATAACGTGGTCCTCAGCAGCAAGGACCTCTTCCCCAGTCTCCCTGAGTCTCAGGAGAGCTTCCGGGAACAGGAGGACACCTGCGGCATGATGCCAAGAGGCCCCGGAAGGGAAGCCTATAGTTTGGATAGCAAAACTGAAAATTCTCCCCGCCGAAAACACTGAAGTGCTTGGTTAGGTGGGAGCATTTCCTCTAAAATGCCACATTTAAAAGGGAAATGATATGTCCAAAAGGCTAGGAAGTATAGCCTTCCAATTGGAGGAATTTTAGCAATACTCCCATGTTTCACTCAATATAAGCTGTCATGGAAAGCACAGATGTAAAAAGCTGCATGGCAACCAAAAGGCAAGATGATACTCCACTCACACCTGAGTTTCACCCTTCAGCACCACCAGCAAGGCTGCTACCTGGCTTCGGTTCCTCTTGCTTACTTGAATTTATTTTCTTTTTTGATTTAGCCCCCTCCCCTGATCACTTGATCTGACTGGGATTCTCCTCAAACACATCATGTTTTAGCAACTTCAGTGTTTACAAAGGATAGTCACCAGGGCTGTCCACCTTCAGGGCCGCCTTTGTGGAGGGCACGGCAGGTGGGCGTGGCCAACGACCAACCGGCCAATAGGCTGCGAGGAGGAACGAGGCAGTGACTTACAGACAGCAGCTGAGAACTGTGACTCCCAGGCCTGTCCCTGCAGGAGATGTCATGAGCTCTCTGCCCTGGAGGAGACCGTCTTACCACCATCTACCTAGGATTCAGTACATTAGCAGTTGTCCCTTAATGAAGACAGCATGTGTCCCTTAGGGGATCACATCTGTCCAGACCAGCTTTTTTCTACCGCACCCAAGGCAGAGGTTTGGGAAACAACCCCATCACACCAGAGGCCAGGAGGTCTCCAAAGTGGACATTCAAACATGGAGTGGGCCAACCCTCAGCAAGTTAAACGAGCTGCCATGTGGCCCAGCAGTTCCACTCAAGAACTGAAAACAGGTGCTCTGACTAGTGTTTGCACATGACATTCACAGCTGCCAACGGGAAGAGCAACCGAATATCCATCCATGGTACCCAAACACAATGGGGTGCACCCATACCGTGGAATGTGAGTCAGCCTTAAACAGGAATGGAGCTCTCACACATGCAACACGAATAAGCCTCGAAAATAACAATGCTCAGTGAAGGAAGCCAGACACAAAAGGTCACACATCATATCAGTCCACTTACATGAAATGCCCAGAATATGCTAATCTATAGAGAAGAAAGCAGATTAGGGGCTGGCAGGGTGGGGGATGAGAGGAGTCGGGGGGTGACTGCTAACGGTTAACAGGGTTTCCTTTCAGGATGAGAAAGTTCTGGAACTAGATAGCAGTGATGGTTGTACATTGTGAAGATGCTTAATGCCACTGAACTGTACACATTACAGTGGCAAATTTTTGTTAGATGCTTTTCTTCCACAGTTAAAAAAAACAAAAACAAAAACCCTGGAGTGGTGATTTCTGTTTTCTAGGGTGGCCTGCTCAAGGGTATTCACATTGAATTACATATTATTTTATTTTAAAGTGCTTGATTTTCATTCTCCTTTAACATTAGGGTTGGGGTATCATAGATTTTCTTTTTTAAATATGTGTTAAAGTGGTTTATATTAGCTATGGCTTTGATCTCAGGAGAGTAAAGATGGCATGAGAAAGTATACACTCAAAATGGAATTGGAACCGTGGGCCTGGGAGGGTCGAGAGCCATGTCTGAAAAGGCCAGTCCAGGCAGTCCAGGACAGGCAGAAGGGACCCCAGGGCATACCACCAGCACCAGCATCCCCGGCCCAACAGGGACATCCACAGACACCTGTCCAGGTGACCACATGGGGCACCTGGATCTGCCTGTTTGTGATGTGAGAGTCATGGAAGGAAAACAAACTGTTCATCAACTCCTAAAAGTCAAATTGGGTTTTGTGCAATAAGAGACGGTGGTTTCCACAGTAGGTTGACGACAGCAACCGCGTATTTCTTATCCTAAAATCTCTTCCAAACTAGAAGTGCACAGAGCTCCCTGGATCAGGTATAAATACTCACTAGTCACTACTCAGGGTCCCAAAGCATGGGTGTCAAGGGGTGTGGAGGGGCAGTGGAGGTTGACCCCCAAGCAGCAGCCTCTTTTTGGAGCTCTCAGGGCACACAAACCCCGCCTCCCATTCATCTCCAGTGACCAGAGAGCACTGCTAGAGAAGTCTAGCTACGCCTGAGCAGCAACAGAGCAAAGACTCCTCCCAGAAGCCTCTGCAGTACCTGGCCCAGACCACTGGCCCTTATCCCCACCTCCTGTATCCTCGTTCCCCAGTGGGCCCCAGGGTGGGGAAGCTCAGGGCAATTCCCGTTCCTCCTCTTTCCAGGAGCTCACAACTGCTGGGGGAGATGGCAGAATGACAAAGTGACAGTCACTGTGTTATCCGGGCAGGATGGGGGAGCCCTGGGCTCTCGGGAAAGGGGCAAAGTCAGGGGAGGTGTCCTGGATAGGAGACCTGGCCTTGACCTACGATGACCCAGAGAGCCCCCAACAAGTGGAGGCCCCTGAATGAAAGGCCAGTCCTCTTCGAGCTGCCTGTGGGAGGCCTGTACCACCTGGTCCGGCCTGCTCCTATGTGTCCCCAGGGCCCAGGCATCATTAAATACCACCTGAAACCACCCATGGTCAGCTTCCAAACAGCATCCAGAGTTTACATGGCAGCAATAGGATTTGGGTCCCTTTACAGACCCAGGGATGCTCCGTGCCTGGCCCAGTGGGAATGGGCCTGGCTGGGCAGCTAAGATCAGGGGGTTTCAGTGGATGTGAGTGGGCAAGTGTGAAGTCAGGGTGAGATAAGCTGGTTCAGGGACTGTGAGTCCAGCAGGCAGAGAGATCATACCCACAGCCTGTGAACCCCTTCCAGAATCATGTGATCTGTGCCCTACTGCCTGGAAGACGGGGGCAGGGAAGGAACGAAGGAAGAAAGGGAGAGAGGAAGGGAGGAAGAAAGGAAGCAATGACGAGGGGACAGGACAGAGTGGTGGAGACAGTCAGACAAACACCCCTAAAGGAGGCTGTGACTTTGAGAAACTCCAAGGGATGCAAATATACATATACAAAGCAGATCAATTAAGAAATTTATCCTATGATTTAAAAAACACTCTTTTCAAAATTTGGTAAAAAAAAAAAACAACACGTGACATTCAATTTTACCATCCTATTTCTAATGGTAGAGTTTGGTAATGGGAACTATAACCACCTTGTTGTGCAATACATCTCTGTAACTTTTTCATCTTGCAATACTGCATAAAACATTACTCTTGATGAAAAAAGCATTTACACATTTCTTTGAGTTCTACGCTGCTAGAGCTTTTCAAATGACAAGGATTCACCCAAACCCGGGCATATTGTACCATAAGCCGGCCACCTGCCATCCACAGAAAGGCCTTTCTATGCCATTCCACCCTCGCCATCTGAGGCGCACAATGGGGAAGTGAAACACAGCACCAGTGGGTTAGTGATTCGTGTTTCCCCTGGGAAAGCACTGGAAATCATTCTTCACCCTCTTGTCACCCAGGTCACCTGCAGCTGCTGAGGACGGTGCATGCACGGTCCTCTCCCGTGAAGGACAGAGGGGCTGGCACTGCATGCCATGCTGCCCACTCCCTCGAGGAGCGTGGTCTATTTGCCACCCACACACAGGACCACTGCACTGGTCTGCACATGGTCACCTTGTCTGTGAACGGGAGAATGGAGGAAAGACTGAGTGTGGAGCTAAGCAGTCCCTCACTATCTACTAGGTCCCCACACGCCACAGCCTAGGTTCTGGCTCTGAGCTGGGACACTCTTCCAGAAATTGCCTGAGAACACAGGCGGCCCCATGGAAGGAGCTTGAGTCCCAGCCATCACCCTCTCTGACCTCGAGCTTCCCACTCTGAGCAATGAACACTATCCTGATCTCATCCAACCAGAAGCCGTGACTTGATGGAGCCTTTTGTGTTGGAGACCTGCTCTTCTGCCAAGGCCTCTGGGAGCATGGTTCTGCCTGGTACAGCAAGGAGGCTGCACCCCAGAGCCTCAGGAGCAAGTGGGGAAACTGCAGCACATCGCATCGCTGGGGCCTCTGTGAGGCCAACTCATGCTGCACTGGGCAACGCTGGCTCTGAGACGCCCTTCCATAACACTCAGTCTGCATCCTTGGGAATCGAGGGGATCCTACAGGGTGGGTATTCTGTCCATGACACTGTCAGGGTCCATGCTAGCCCCTCTGCACCCCCTCTCCCATGCACCTGGATTCCCAGTCCTTGAACACACCTGCACTCACAGGCACATGGCCCTGGCTCTCCCAGCACCTGCACAGCCCTTGCCGACTTTCCTCCTGGGGACTTCTTGCTTCCTACGCCCCAGTGCAGCCTCATTCTTCCATCCCACCCACCCTGGGTTTATGCACACCCAGGCCTTCTGTTCCCACTTAGGGGCTCAACACTAAGGGGGTCATAGCTGGAGACCACTTCGTTGTAACACACATTAAACAAATTACTACACCTGGACCTTTACAAAATCACCATGGATGCTATGTCCCCAGCACTTTGATCTCCCCCACCTGGATCACTAACAGCCAAAATGCAACAGGCATTTCCATTTCTCATAATACCCTACACAGGGGCTGCTCCCTCCTGCTGGTGAGGCCTCACTGCCAGACCCCTGCTCAGTGCCCCCACACCCGGCAGACTCACTCAGAGGCAATGATCCTCATGTGGGAGCGACCTGGGGCTGTTGCCAGCGTGCCTCCCCTTCCTGAGTTTGTGGGCCTCTTGCACNTGCTGGCGAGGCCTCACTGCCAGACCCCTGCTCAGTGCCCCCACACCCGGCAGACTCACTCAGAGGCAATGATCCTCATGTGGGAGCGACCTGGGGCTGTTGCCAGCGTGCCTCCCCTTCCTGAGTTTGTGGGCCTCTTGCACGGGAATCAAGAGTGTGCAGGGCCATGAAAGGAAGCTGCTTTCTGTGCTCTAAAATACCTCAAGTTCTCACATTGAATCCTTTTGGTTGGGGTTTAACATAATTTGAATCAGGCTTTCCACTGTCCACTGTTAAAACTGATACTTCACTCTGCTCTGAATTTCCTTCATTGTAAATAGACCATCTGCCCCGGGCGAGCACCAGTGCAGCGGGGGTCTGGGTCCGTGGTGGGGCAGACAAGAGCTGGGCATCCCACGGCAGTCAGCAGGCACACGCGGGGCCTGCTGGGATCCCGCCATTGTGGATGGGAGGTTGATGTACATGAATAAATATTTGGACATGAAGCAAGGAGCCCTCTAATTATGGGAAAACAGCTGGCTTCCTGCCATTGACAGCATCATAAATTTCATCAATTAAGTCATTTCCTTTGTTTTTTGGAAATCATTAGTCGCAATCTTTCCCTGCTAGAAGGACATAGTCCAAGACACCCACCTATGTGCAGGGGGAAGAGGGCGTGCAGCAGGGAGGCCTGGGGTGCGCAAGGAGGGTGCAAGGACCCAGCAGGGCCCAGAGGGGTTGTGCCTGTAGGGAGCCACAGCCGGAGTGGGGCACCTGGCACCACGCCCCATCCCTCACCGCATTTACAAGGCCGCCTAAGCTTTCTGACAGCCCCCCTCTGGATGGTTGGTCTCTCTTGGGTCTTGTGGGTGGGGCCAGGCTGCACTGTCCTGTGATAAACCTTTAGAAGGTCTCAATTCAGCAGAGCCACCTGGGTCGTCAGAGAGTCATTTGCATTTCCACCAGCACCACACCCACTGTTTGTAAACATTACCATGTGACAGGACACAAATGAGGAAGTGACATCCATGGCCCTCAAGGGGTTCTTCTTACTGGTAGAAGAGTGTGTTTAGTGGAGCAAGGGAATAGCATGAGTTGCAGTCAGACAGATGGAAGCTCTCTGACACCTCACGGTAGGTATGAACCTAGGGGTGAGGTGGACAAACTCAACTATAATGCCCAGCACAGTGCAAATGCTTGGAGTGGCTGTGCCTATTAAACTCACCATCACCACCACCATTACTATCATGCTGGTATCAAGGATACTTTCTCAGGAAATGCTCAGCCTTCACATATAATTTCCATTCTCTGAAATAACCAGTCCCCTGGTGGGCTGCTGCCTACAAGCCATGTGCAACATGCAGCAGTCCCCAGGAGGAGCTGCGTGTGATGGCATTTCCAACTCTCTACCACCAGATAGCTGGTGGTCTTTCTGCTAGTGAGGACATGATCTGCAAAGAGCAAAGGCTTTTACTGAAATTTCAGGATGCTGAGGTCTCTGCCACAAAGCATTCCTTCCTGCCAGAATTAAGACGCTGTAGCAGCCGGTATCTAGGAACAAGATGCAAGGCTAGCCAAGGAGGGTCTCATATAGAAGACACAGGGTATTGGAACTTTCCAGCTCATTTCCCATCCCAGTAAGACTCGAGGCAGCTCTGGTCAGACACATGTTGCTGGAGCCAAGCCTCAGGCACATAGACACAGGAATGATGCATCTTTGGGGTGACAGCCGTGCCTGGGCATGTCATGGAGCCTTTCAGATTCACCAGCCCTCCTCAGCACAGGAACTGAGAACCAATGGTGGCCCAGCCCAGCTGGGTAGCCCTGGCCTCACCAGTTAGGAGGTGGATACATGCTGAGGATCTGGAACAGATTCAAAGCACAGTTTTCCAACATCCCAAAACCTTCTGAAATGTTCCAGGGACTCAGAGCTACTTGGTTAGCTTTTATGTCTTCCCCCGCCATCTAGTGATTTTTTTCTGATGCTGGCTGATCTAGCCTTTTCCAACTGAGAGATGTAAATACTGACATTTAAATATTAAAATCAATGGGTTCCAGCATTTTGTACAATTGCCAGGGAGGGAAAGAGGTCCCCCAGCCACAATTCGAATGGCAGAGAGCTACAGACATGAGTCTTCTTTTGATGGGATTTCTATTGAGACAAGATGTCCAGGAATGAAAGCCAATAACCCTGCAAGTGGGCTGGTTTCAGGAACGCCTCTACATGTGCAGCTTCTTTACATCAAATGCACTTAAGTCTCAAATGTGTGCTGCCTTTCCAGGCTTGGCACTTACCTAAGCAGGGAGCTCACTCTGGACTGCAAATCTCGAAGGCCAGGGCTTACTTGCTCTGCCCCAACCCTGTGCTGTGAGCCACCCCCCTGGTGATAGCTGATCACTGCAAAGGGATGGGCTTGTAACAGGCTTCCTACCAGAAGCTCATTTCCACATTTCAAAAGGTCTTTGAAGATCAGTATCCAGTGTGTTTATATCTGATCTCCTGACATCACTACAGCTCTAAAAGCATGGGGGGAAAATGACAGATGGTCAAGATCTTTGTCAAAGATGCATGGGTTAATGAACACTTCAATTGGATTTGTATGATTAATAACCAAACACCCACTGAAATTGCTGAAGTATTCACGTCCTTCAATTTCAAAAACGTCATTAAATTATTTCCATAATGAAAGAAACTATGGAGCTTCGGAAATCACAATAAAAATTCCAGGAATAAAAGTGCTGGGTTTATCAAGTAACCAAAGTATGGCTAACAGAGTGCAGAGGGTGGGAAGTGACTTTCTTCTGTGTTTTACTGCGGCAAGAATGAGGAATTGCGAAGGACTGAGTTCTATCAACTGGAAAACACATCAACTAAAAAACACATCAACTAAAAGAAGTGGCCAGATGGTAAACTGACCCTTGAAATCTTCCCCTGTATACATCCGGTCTCTGCAACCTCCTCCAAACCCAAGTCCAGGGAGACTTTAATCCAGGAGAAAAGACTTCTGCTTTTGATTTTTCCAAGTAATTTCTTTTAAGTAGGTTTGATGTAAGAAAGAGAATGTGGATAGTTTTGCTCCCACTAAAACCTTTTTAAACTGAGACTGTCCCAGGTATTCTGGGGCTGAGGGTACCATGCGTCTGTTTAAGTGAGTTCATGCACCTAAACCCTCTACCTGGACCCAGCAATTGTTCAGCTACTACTGTCACCATTGCTGTTCACAGCTACATGGTAGCCAGATAATGTACTGTGGCTGACTCTTGGCTTCATCTCACTCCCAGTCAAGGACACTCAGGTTCCTAGAAACCAAGGGGAGTTGGGATGTCACACCATAAGCTCACTTATGTTGCAGGTACACAGGTGTGTGTGGACCAGCACTTTCTGACCCTTCCATCAGCCAGGTGCTGTGATGCTGTGACAGGGTTTCTTGTAACAGATGGAGTGAACGCAGCCGGCCACTGCAGACCAAGGCATGTGGGGACCCATGTGTGCGAGGCCTCAGGATCTGGGCGGTTCTGACACCCACCTTCCACCTACAGAGCAGGCAGGGCCTCTGGGTGCAGACGGCGGGACCCAGTTCCTGCCCTCTTGCCTATGACCTACATGGCCTCTGATGGGCCTCTTGCCCCTGACATTCCGGAAACCCTCTGCAGCCAAGGGGCCTCAAGAAGATGAACAAGGCTTCCTGATCAGTATTCCTGCTCAGGACAGTGGCAGCAATGCCCCAATGCACCCCACACTGTGCCCTCAGCTGTCTTTGGGTCCTGGCCCTGATGGCCAGTGGGCTCCCAGATGCAGACCCCCATTGCCCCTGTCACCCCAAACCTCAGCTTCACCCAGGCCTGCCTGTCCTCTGTGGAAGCTCCACCCTGTGGCTTTCGAAGGCTGTTCCCTGTGTCCCCACACCTGTACTCCATCCAGCACCCTCTGCCTGCTGGGCATCCACCCAGCTGGGTCTCTAGGCTCCACAGCCTATGCCCCTCCAATGAGGAGAGCCTGCGTGTCACAGGCTCAAGCCCAGCCCATGCCCCCACGCAATCCCTCCCTCTCCTTACCTCACCCACCTGCAAGGAGCCCACCCTCTGTCCCCTCCTCCCTGCTCCCTGCATGGCCAGCACGGGACACCTTATCCCCTGGGATGCATGGTTACACTCCTGTCCCCACAGGCTGTGGCCAGGGTCCCACTGTCCTCTTTCTTCTCCCCCAGACCAGTGACAAACCCAGCCCCTTCCTATAAGCCCTATTCCATGACACATGGGTACAGGTAAGTCCCTGAAATGCCACCTCACCTTGCTGTATGGGGGCTCGGCTGGGGCTCCTCACCACGTCCTGCAGGCAGCCACCTGCCCAGAGCCCACCTCGCATGCCATCCGGGAGCATGGGGCCATTGGCCTGGCTGCCCAGCGTGTTCATGTGGGTGGGGATAGGCTCGAAGGTGGGGTCCAGCTCCAAGATCAACCTGTTGAGCTGCTCAATGGACTGGTCGATGTCCAGCGTGGGTGACCCTGGGGAGGGGTCTGCACTTGACTCCAGGCCAGTCCCATTCACCACTTTGCCATCTGGAAACCTGGGCTTGAACACTTTGCCGGGAGGGGGCCGCTGTGGGTCGGGGGGATGCGGCCCGGGGCCTATACCCCTCTGGACAGCGACTTTGCTGCTGGTTCCCCGGGCAGGGGTGACTGGGACTCTGGGCTGCACCTGCACCAGGCGGGAACTATCCTCTGGGCTGTGGCTGACAAGCCTGGCCTCCCCGTTGGGAGGGAAGCTGTACTGATGAGCCACCACCATTTGCTGCTGGCGCACCCAGGTCTGCGTGGAGTAGCTGCTCTGCCCATAGGCCTGCGTCTGGGAAGACACGGATGGCTTTCTGAGAATGGGCTGCAGCTGCTTAGACTCTCGGCCCCCACCAGCCCGCTCCCGCTCATACAGGGGGTCCACACTGAGGCCCAGGTCTGGGGCAAGGGTGCCCAGTGGATCTTCACCAACATTGTTGCCAAATCCATCAGACAGGAGGGAGTTCTGGCTGCTCTGGTGACAGGCGAAGGGGACCAGGTGGGCCGACTGGTGTCCCTCAGAGGAGGACAGGGTCCCAATGCTGTCCACGCTGTGCAGGTCATGACTGGGCATCTCGTCATCCAGGATGTCCGTCTCCCGGTCTTTTGGTGTGGCGTCTCCATTCACGTGGACCTGGGCAGGCACAACGTGGCGTGTCCCACTGTACTTGCTGTGAGCATCGGTCATATCCCTGAGGGGGCTTGTGGAATCTTCTAGGCCAAAGCCGCTGAGCAGCTGATCCAACTCAGCCTTCTCCTGGGGGCTCAGGCCTCTCTTGGGCCCCAGGCCCAGGTGCTCCTCGGTCCTGTCTGTCCTGACGGAGGCAGTGGAGTGGCCCGAGTCGCTGCTGACAGACAGGGTGTGGTCGCTGTGGTCGGGGCTGCAGGCAGCCGGGGAGGCCGGGAGCCCACCTGAAACGCCAGGATCTGAGGTGCTCTTTTTCCTCACCTTGGCATAGAGGCTGCCGTCCACGGGGCCCTGTGTGTGCAGCACTGGGAAGGAGAGAAGGGAGACGCTGTCAGTCAAAGACAAATATATGAACTCGTAACAGCCAATTGACAACAGTCAAGGAGAGAAACCCTCCAGGACCCCAAAATTCTATTTACACTCTGGCAAAGCGATTCTAATAGCCCGACAGCTTCAGGTCCCAGAACTGTTTCTACCTTTTCTGCAAAGACTTGCATCCATGACTCCCACAGCCCTTCCCTAAATCTGAGTTAACCATACTGGTACAATGACTTAAATTAGAGAACCTCTGGGCTTCTCCTTGATCCTTCATCCATCACCAGTGTGGCTGGTGAGCTCAGCTCGTAAATCCCCAAGACTCAGGAATCAGCTGTGACATGCAGGGCTCCTGTACAGTGCCTGTGGGCATCTTGGGGGCTTAAGGCTGGCTGCACATTCTCACTAAACAGAACGTCTGACTGACCACACCAGTCTCTTAACATTTGAGGCCTGAGCGAAGTGCAGGAACAGGCCTCAGGCCTTCCTGTTAGCACAGCATCTCTGGCCCAAGGAGGTGCCCGGGGCAGGTAGGGCCAGGCACAGAACCCTTGCAGCCCATCTTTTTGAACTGACAACCACACATTGGGCAGTCAGAAAAACTCCAAGCAGGCCTCAGATGTCAGGGGGAGAGCAGGGCTCTCAGCTGCCTCTGCTAATTACAGCCTGGCTATGGCACTCAGAGCTGCCAGTCTCAGACTGCTGACTAAGCATCTGTGTTTGCCTGGGTCCCAGAAGAGGTGGGAGAAGCACCCACCAGCCCACCCCACCCTCCTGTCTTCCCAGACAGGACATTGCAGGCATACCTCAACAAGGGGGCTGCGCAGGCTTGACCCCTGCTGAGTGGGCACCCGGGAGGCACAGTGTTCCAGGCGACTGAGCTGCTCTGGAGGGAGCTGCCCTGGGCCCTGGGCTCTGGGCCTAGCGTGCTGGCTGCACTACCATGGTCAGCAGCTTCTAGCTCTTTTGGAAACACTGCAGTGACATGTCAGGACAGAAACCTGTGGGCTATTTGGGGATGCTGAGAACACACACAACCCTGGGCTTCTTTATTATTCCAAATGTGCCCAAGGCAATGGGGCAAGAGGAGCTGGGGGTGAGCATGGGGGTACAGTCCAACACAGAGCCCCACTGATCCCCATCCTGCAGCAGAGCCAGGGGAGAGAAATGATAACCCAAATACCAGGAATAAACCAAGTCCTCAAGCAGGCAGCTGGGGCCTGAACTCCAGTGAAGGCAGGCACAGGTTTAGCCCACGGGGACTCAGGGGGCCGGGGCACTGGGGAGCTGCTGTCACTGAGGCTGAGTGCAGGGCAGGCCCTCACATGGTGCCTCTATTCCCACAGTAGAGCCTGCCCTGCAGATGAGCTGTTACTCCTTCTTAAAAGATGAAGAGCTGATGCTCTGTGGGAGTCGGCAACCCACTGAGGTCAGGCAGCTGCTGGGAAGTGGAAGAGGGACTAGAACCCAGGTTGCTTGGTCTGAAGGCCACACACCCCTGCTGACCACATGCCATCTGCTTCAGAGTGCCAGCTGGGTACGCCCCAGGCCCCACCCAGGAGCCAGGTGGCACCGAGACACTGCACCCTGAATGGGGTCAACGAGCAGCTCTGGGCCCAGGTCAGAATGGGGGCCAAGCTCTGTGGCCCTGGAGACTGCACAGGCCACAGGCAGAAGGGCTGACTGGTAGCACAGTGCTGGGGCACCAGACAAGTCCTGGCTCTGGCCCAGCCCACCCTCAGCCCGCCCGAGTTCACCAGCAGTAAAAGTAGGGTGTGGGTGCTCCACAAGGGTCAGAGATGCACATGCAGATGAGGGTCTGTGCATCCCTGAGGAAGCCCCAGTGTAGCCTGGCCTATGAGAATCCCCTGCAGCCAGGAAAACCCAACCAAGACAAGCTCTGGTGAGCCCACTCTCCTGTCCACGGAGTGTGAGAATCACAGACCCCCACCACAACCAGGGCCCGGACCAGGGCCAGGGGGTCCACCAATCTCACATGGCAAAGACCACGCATCCATGGCTTCCACAGCCTTTCCCTAAATCTGAGTTAACCGTATTGGTACACTGACTTACAAAAGCAAGCCAAGAACAAGTTGTACAAAAATTCCTATTTAAATTGGGATGCCACCAGGTGTCTCCCCATCATTTTCAGGCAGAATCCCTTGGCCAGCCCCACTAAGAACAGTCGCTAAGGAGGGGCCGCATCTGGTGGAGAAAGGAGGGATGTTCCCCTGGCTGGGCATCTTTATTAGTTTGACAAATAGCATCTTTATTAGTTTTATGAGTGGTAGAAATAAATATTATAATAAACACATAAAAACATCGCAATTACCACCTATGACACAGTGGCTCCGTGTAAGGCATGGCACCGAGCATTTAGGACACAGGGTCCTGCGGGCTCAGGGTGCCTTCCTGTGGGCAGCTCAGAGACGGGATGCAGCCAAACACCACCAAGGACTCTTCTACACTTCCTGCCATGAATATGTTTACTTGGACATCAGAAAATGCCCAACAAATATTACAACTCCAGGAAAGAAAGAACCAATAAGTGAGTCTCCAAGACACACACGTCCAAACTTCGGCTCACTTTGCAGGAACCTGGGTCTTCCCAAAGCATGAGTGCTCCCTGGCGGTCTGTCCAGGGACCTCCACAGACCTCCCCCCAACCTCTGCGCCCCGTTGGCAATATCAGGGCTGCAGGAAGTCACCTCGGAGCAAGGAGGAGAGGGAGTTTCTAGTGCCCACCACTCCTCCCTGCCTTCTGGCAAATGGCTACCACCTTGTAAGGACTCAGACTGATTTTTCAGTTGGACAGATTAGATGAGGTGCTTCATTTATAAAGAAGAGTGACTGTTCCACCTTTTAATGATAAAAGCTCTTCCCACGGTGGACAGGGCCTGGTTCGTTTCTTCCACTTGTCTGGCCATCAGACCACAGCAGGCACAGGTTTATGTTGCCAAGTTATCTGCCCTCCACCCTGGCACACTCCCTCATCTCCTTGGGGGGAGCTTCCCTGACCATCCTCCCTATGCTGGCTTCTTCTCTGGAGTGGTCACGTACGGTGAAGCAGCATTAGGGAAGAGCCCTTGGCACTGAGTATCTGAGAAACCCAATGTTCCAGCATGTTCTTACACCACAAAACCTGGGGCACGGTTTGGAAAAATAATTCTTAGCAAGAATTAAAAACAACCAAACAACCCAAACACACACAGAAACAGGGGTCTGCAGGTCCAAGCAGCCCAGCCCTTGGCCTCCTGCACCCCTGACCATGTTCTCCCAAGAAGCACAGCTCCTGTGAGCCTGCCCTTCCCTGGGTGCCATTGCCCCCCACTCCGGAGGTCTACAATGCCAAGGACCTTAGCTGGAAGAGGACCTGGAGCCCCAGATCAAGGGCTCCACAATGCCCGAGAAAGCAGAAGGGTCACTGTCTTGCCAATGGGTTTCAGCCCCGGGCAAGTTCGCTATGGAGTCAATGTGACCAAAGAAATGACAGCAAAACATTCTTGGGGTGAAAGGGTGAGACCCAACCTTATTTCCAGGTGGCAGGTCAGTCACTAGAATCCCATCACTCAGAGCGAGTCTGCATGCAGCAAGCCAGTCTCTGCCTCTGGCCCCTCTGCCCTCACAGCCATCCTCCAGGCCTCTCTGCCTGCACAGCTGTCTTCTGGGCCCCTCTGTCCACACAGCTGTCCTCTGGGCCTCTCTGTCTGCACAGTCATCCCACACAGCCATCCTCTGGGCTCTGTCTTTGGCGCTGCCACCACTCCAGCCTCTGCTCTGCTCTCCTGCAGCCTTGTAGCCCTGCCACTGTGTCGTGCCCAGAACACAGGGCGGAGCTCTTTATATACAGTCAACAGCCATGTATTCCCCACAGGTGTGCAGTGAGCTAGTCAACCTGGGCCAGGTGAGAATCCTGGCCACAGGAACTCTCATTTTATCCACTCCACCCCTCCAGGACTCTCTCCTCTCAATCCATGTGCCTTTAGTCCTCTGCAATGGTCCCTGTGCAAGGAAGCTCGAACATTGTTCTCCAGCCTCTCCAGCAAAAAGTCTTGCAGACACACAGGCCGGACTCGTGGCTCTGTCTCTGACTTCTGCCTCTTTGGTCTTAATGGCTTGAACGAACTGCTGCTCTGGTTTCAGTTGTTGCCACAGCTCCAGTAAGATCCTATTTGGCTTCCTGTCTAATTTCCTTCCAGCTACTCCTGCCTGTATTAAATCAACACACATCTGGGTCCTCGTAACCTTCATGGGACCCCTTAAATTCTTCTTGTGAGTCACCTTGAATTTTTTAATCGCTGTCTCAAGGCAGGCCACACTGTCAGGGAAGACAGCTTTCCCATCTCTGATCCCGACAGAACAATTCCATCCACCCCTAAGTCCCACAGCCACCAGCTCAGCCTGAGTATAGGGGTGAACCATAGAGTGCTCCACCACCTGGGGAGGGGGCTGCTCCTCTCCTTGAGGAACTTTCAGCTGCTGGGTCTTTGTTTTCTTTACAATCACTGGGCGTGCTTTCAATACAGGAGGGGCCAGTGCCTCCAGCACCACCCCTTCATCCTTCCACAGCTCCTCCACTTCTGAGGCTGATGGCACCTTTCTCTCCCCTCCCCCGAGTGCCTCCTCTGCTACAGTGCCTCACAACAATGCCAGTTCAGTCTCCAGCAGCTCTCTTACCTTCAGCTCAATGCTTCACAGCTGACGTTCTTGTGCCAACTCCGCCTGTACTTCCCTCAGGAGTTCGTCTTTTTCCTTGATGGCCTCTTTCTCCTACAGAACACCTGGCAGCACTGCCATCTCGTTCTGTAAAGAACTGTTTACCTCTCCAATGGCACCTTGCTGCCAGCATTGTCATGCTACCTCATCTCACATCAGTGCCATCTTCTTCCTCAGGGCATCCACAGAAGTTTGCAGCTTACATTCTCGTGCTGCCATTTCTTGAGTCTCTTCTGTAGACCTTTTTAACACTGTGAGAAGCAGCCAACCCACA